AGATTTCCCAAAAAAGCAATAACAAAAAGGATAAGGCAGATATTATGAAACACCGGAAACATCCCCATCTCTCTATCTTCCTTCAGTTACCATCACCGACTGTTGACTCTGATCAAAGCAGACGGGTTTTCTCCCAAAGATGTTTCTTAAATGAAGCACACATGCCATGACTTTACATCTTGTTCTAGCACTGAAATGTGTTGGATGTAAGTAGGTCATCATTTTGGAGGAGTGCAGCTGGAAACAAACAGCAGCTGGAAAGTAGCGTCCATTAGTAGACAGCGGTAACCTGAAGCATATACAGCATCTAGCCCGACCACAGAGATAATGAACACAGCCTATCACGTCTCGGTGCTCTCTTCTTTTATCTGGTCGCTCTTTGTGAGCTCCGTCTGGCGGATTTATCCGAGCTTCCGTACCTCAAAGGAAGCACAGAGCTAAACTTGAAATGGAAACTGGGCCAAACCTCCTTTTTCAGATCTGGAGTATCTGTAAGTAGACAGCAAAGTCAAGTGAATATAAGGACAGGGTGCGTGTGTGCGTGTGTGCGTGTGTGTGTGTGTGTGTGTGTGTGTGTGTGTGTGTGTGTGTGTGTGTGTGTGTGAGCCCTGGGCAGTGGTATCCGCATTCGATTCGTCAGGGTGATTTATGATTCACTCCCTTTGAACTCCAATTTCCTGCTATCTGAAACAGAATAACACAATTATGTAGAGAGTACAGTAGGATTTCACCGATGCGAAACTTAAGCGAAATGAATTTATGACGGCAGACACGCACGTATAATGATGCTTTACAAGATTAAGTCTACGATACACAGCCACAAATACACCCTGAAATTCAATGGTTACACTATTAAAAACACACTCCAGTAATCTCTTTAGAGAAATCTCATAGCTCACGGCTATTCGTGTTCATCCCCGGAGATATAGCCTACGTAACCTTGATTTTTCAAAATAACATTTTGCCACCAGCATCCTCGGGGAAAACATCACACTTTCTCAGTATCATACGTACATTTCAGGCAGAATCAGACCATTTAAAGTAATTTAAGAAAACATTGCCATCCCACTTTTAATCAAATATATGTAGCCTGGGAGGATAATACAAAATGCTGATGCTTTATTAATCAGCATGCCTGTCTCAGATTAAGGTAGCCCTGTGGGAAAAGAGCTTTTCACTAATGACTCATGCTTTTAGTTAAACATGAATACTCAGTTGCTGTCAGAAAAACACAAAAGGCAAGCAGCAAGGCTTGTTTTGTGAGTAGAAATCTTGTTTGGTTATAAAATATAAATGTCATTGATATTATCATTATACACATGAATATGATTACATATGAAATTATCAATTTAATTATGATACAAGCTGAATTTAGTGATTTAAATACAGCAAGTCTTCTGAAACCAGGCTCAAGGCAGGAACCCGTGATGTGCCTTGATTATAATCAGTAAAATGTTTAAATGTTTTAAGAAACTGACAGGTAACAAATCTTCAAACTCTAAAGAGGACACAAAAATGGTAGCTTCACTTTGAGATAACAGACTATTTTTGATGCATCTTTGTCTTCCATTGAATAAGTCAGAGGGACATTGGTTCATTCTTTTTTTAATCAAATTGTAAGGACTAATACTTGTCAGGGTCATTTCTTTTCAATTTGGTCTTGTATTTTAGTTTATATAAAGAATTAAATTCAAACTATCCACACCAACTGTTATACCTTGAAAATGTGCTGCCCCATATCTGTTATACACATAGGATGATGTATGATTCCCTGTAATGTGTTATCTTGTGTGGCACTTTGGTTTTTATGTGTTGGAAAAGTCAGTAAACAATACCAAAATGAAGTTGAACTACGTTTTTCCTTCTTTAGCAAAAGTTACGCCTTAATGTCGACAGTTCGGAGAAAATCTGTATGAAAAATGACTTTGCAACTTAATATGTGTTTTCAGGCCCGGGTAAGGTCAAGTGTCCGCTTTCAATGTGAGGCACAAGCGGAGAAAAATGTTTACATTTGCTCTGCTGTGTCTGCACATAAGGAAATATCAATACAGGCCAGGTCATAAAATGTCCCAGGATAGTCGGGAAGTGAAATCTGAGTATATTACACCTTTACATACAAAATCCATTCATTGAGGACACTTGCAGGTTTCCATTTGCAGTAAAGGGTACTGACGAGAAGAAACTACTGATGTCTCCATTGGTGACTCAAGCTCTAATGAAAAATACTGATGCTTTCACACAGAGCACAGCAACAATTAATCAATCCCACAACAAACACACACTCACGCCAAAAAAGAACAAAGCAACAGCAAGAGAAAAGTCTTAATTATTGAATTCATTTTGTTATTTAAAACCGTGCATGTAAATATCTGGATGTAATGAATAAATTCATTACATTTCCGAGTCCATTTTTACCCTATCCCTCTGCAAAACTAATAGAAAAAAACAAAAGCGCGTTAAACTTTTACTGCATTGGAAATAGCACTTCTTGAAATGGTCTCCTCATCTCCTGAGGCTAAAGGCAATTTCATGCTCCAGCACGACTCAGGGGGAGATCAGGACTAAAGGTGACCTCAAGGTTAACGGCCCAAATCTAATAAATATGTTGGAAATCCAGCAGCACAATAACAGCTCCTGGTCAGCCTTTCCACAATCCAATCTCAACGTTTAATTGCGAGAGAAAATCACGATTCTCTATTTTTCAGCAGATCTCTTCCAATGAACAAAGAGGCTCATAAAAGAAATAGAAGACATATAACGAGCTCTGTGCACAGGCTAGGTGTTGCTGTGACAGCCAAAGCAGTGTCAGTGTACAGCCTTTTGCCAACCTTATCACATGATTCTAGATGTGACAGACATCAATAATTCAGAAGAACATCACAGTGTGTGCAGCTATTTAAAGATTAAAGGAGTCAAGTACACTTGTGTTTGCTGTAGGTTTGAACTAGTGTCATCCACAAACAAGCAACACATGAATACACGTTTTTTTTGTTCAACTGCTAACACATTAAAATAACACATAAAGCACAATGATGGAAGCTGCCACGCAGAGAGCAAAATCTCAGCTCAAGTCTTCAAAACTCTGAACACGTTTTCTGCTTTGCACCCAATTTGCATTTCAACATGGCACTTTTTGCAACACACTGCACACTGTTCTCTACACAAGACACAGACATCTGACGCAAAGTCAAGTGTTTGACATCTGAAAAACTGCCATTTAAACTGCCTCACTAATGGACAAATAAGCCGTCACACGCTCCACCTGGCCGAACACCTAATTGCTTGATTGTCATCACATCAATCAGGATGCAAGCACCAAAGAGCTCTGGTGATTACCTGTTTTTACGACAACAATAGAAGCCATAGAGAGGCTAAGACATATGTGTGGTGTAAAAGTAAGCCCTGTTTTCAAAGTCCATGCTGAGCAATCGTAAAAACTGTCACAAGTCACTTCATTACATGTCACTTGTTAGACGCTTTTATCCAAAGCGACTCACATACTCAATACTGTGGGCAATCCCCACAGGAGCAATTTGGGGTGAAGTGTCTTGCCCAGGGACACAACGACATGCTGACTGCAGTGGGGTTTGAATCTGTGCTCCCTTGATCCGAACACCAACGCTCTATCCACTGCGCCACACGCCTCCTGATGACAAGTCACTTCATCAGGCTAAATGGAGGCAGAGTCTATAAGACGTAAGCAGCTGTGTGTCCTTGTCTGTTTCTCTTTTTTGGTTCAAGTAGGCCTAATCAGTGAAAATCTGCCTCATAAAAAAACATCATGATGAAGGCCAGATAACCAAACATTGAGAATATAAAGCATTGTCATAAAAAGCATTTCATTTTGATTGATTTCGATTGTACTTGCTGTTCTGTATTTTCTTTGTGTGCATTATCAGAAATATGAACTGTTGGAAAGACAACATCCTGTTTGCCAATGGACAAAAGTCAAAGCCCTACTTTCATTCTACATTCATCTCATGGCTTCAAGGCTGAATTTGTAAATCATAGGCCACGTGCTGGCTCATATGAAAACACTTGATTCCATGTTTAAGTCACATAAAGACAGATGTATTAACAATTATTATGGAAATCATATTCTTACAAAAACCTTGACCAAGTCATGGACCAATCCACCAAACTAAGCGAGAGCCACCATCGCTCACAAGGGCAGCCAAAGCATAGATGTTTAAGACACAGATCTTTTCATTGTTGCTTGATAGTAGCTCTAAAAGATAAATGTATATTCTAAAATACAAGCTGAATAACAGGCAGTAGCAGGTGGAAGAGCAAGTGTTTGGTCTCACACTAAAAAATCACAACTCAACCAAGAGGCCCAGGGTTCCTGTGACGTCTTCCCCTTTCACTATATTTTGATTGTTTGGCTTAAGTGCATAATATGCCAACATGGTGACCAGCATAAACACCTCAAAGCTTGAACATGATAATTTAGAAAAACTGTGAGTGACAACAAAGGCTACATCCATGTGTGTTGGAGGCTATCCCTAAATCATAGTCTTCACTGTTTCAGCGCCACGGACAGTAACAGAGGAAAGGTTCACTTTACAGACACACACACACACACACACCAAAACTGCAGATAATCACATCAGACAATATAATGAGTTTTACATCATCATTATCTGTCAGAAGCTGTCACTCATGTCATCTGAGGGCTTTGTTCTAACCCTGATTTCATGTTTTACAAAAACAAAAGTGTTAGTCCAGCTTTCACATACAGTCAACTGAAGCAACCAGGCAGAACATGCATATTCTAGCAAGAGTCAAGCTACCACAGCATGAAGAACAACCTTTTCAAACTTTCTTGACCCTGTAAAAGTCAAACAAATATGTCTTCAGAGATACTCTCATCCTATCACTTAACATGTGTGTGAGTGGTCTGTGTGTGTGTGCATGTGTGTGTGTTTCTTATCTTATCTATAAATCTGGAGATTATTTTATAAACGAGGGTTATGGGTAATAAAGTAAAAGTGTCTTACATCCTCATCCTCCTTCGAGCTTTTTTTACGATACTGGATGTAAGGTCTGCCATCGCCGAGTGGCTGAGGGGTCTTCGCCGCGTTTTCCTCGTCTGCAACCTGACCACCGAGCAGGTGACTGGCCTCAGGTGGGTGCGGGAAGGAATTGGCCGTATTTATCTTCCCGGTGAATCTCTGATACAGCGAAGCCATATTATAGGTCCAGTCCAGATCAAAACAACTTACAGCATGTCACAGCCACATACAGGTCTCGCCTGAATCGTTTTTTTTATTGGTTTTCTGTGCGCTTCGAGTAGAACCGATGGCAGGCAGACAGTTTTCACCTCCGGGATGGAGCAGAAAAGATGGGGTGAAGATACCGAGCTAGTAAAAAAGCATGTATGAATAGTGAGTGACTCACAACGTGATGTGACAGACCAGTATAAAGCTGAATCATGTGCAGCGATGTCCTTTTAGCTTTGTCCAGGCGCACGGCAGACTGGTGGGTTGAAGGTGTAAATAGTTGCTCTAATCTGTATTCACAACACGCTGTCTCCCCTCTTCAGTTTCCTGATGCCTCCTTACAGCGAGATATCAGGCGGATGCGCTGAGTTTCCGATCAGATTTTCGATTCCAACCAGACTCCGGTCGATTGTCGGCAAAACACAAGAGCAAAAGATAATGATTCGACACTTTCGGCTGTGTTTTTTTGGCAGACCTCACGCAGTAACAGTGTGAAGGACGCAGAGAGCCCGGCGGTGCTCTCCGCAGACGCACTCTGCATGAGAAGTGACCAGCAGAGAGAGAGCCGCGCTACTGTACTGTCACTACACTGCTCCGGGTGCTGCTTTACGCACAGACATTCAACGGCACTGCGCGAGTTTGATCCGGATTCTCCTTTATTGAAACCCCGTGATGAAAAATGGGACACGTTTATGATTTTTTTGAAGGGGTTCATAACATTTCCTCCCAAATGTTTGTATTTGGTCCCAGGACAGAGCTAGAGTGCCTCTCTGTGGCGTACTTGAATAGGACAGGCTGCCCACACACCTATAGTGCAGGTGTAAAATGACACATATTTCGGTTTTTGCTCATGGTTTCTCAGATGCTTCAGCTCTTACATATTGAGTGAAATCAGAGATCAGTGAAACACATTTTTTAATTTTCCTTAAATAACAAGAGAATATGCCCACATGCAGAACACATGTGTCCTGTCATTAGCCTATAAATAAAATGCAAGGAATGTATTTCTGTCTTTCAAGTCTTATTCTTTACTGTAATAAGTCAAACCATGAGTGTCTCTCCCCTTAATGTATGCAGTTTGCCTTCTATCATATATTTTCAGTCAGTCCACATCCACAAGTGTTGTTCAGCTCATACATTATATTTCATGCTTGAACTGCTCACAGAGGCCCAACGATTTGCAGCTCTCCGGTAAATGCAGAATATTGGCTTATATGTGGTGCAGGGAGGGAAAGGCTCTTGAGTCAAAGTGTTAGAATATCTGCCATCCCCGTCATGAAAGCCACGGGCGAACACCCCTCAGCTTCTCACTGTGACAGCTCAAACTACCACTCCATTGGGGCCGAGCCGAATTTCTGAGAAATAGGTCATCTTCACACGGTCCAACTTCAAAGCAGCAATAAAGCAAGGCTCAAAACAGCCCCTCACAGATGCTGTTGAATAGCAGGGTTCCGCATCTACCATTAAGTGAAATCAAGTTCATTTTGTAATATTTTGCAATGAGCACTCAAGGCGCACTTACTACAACAGTAGATATGAGCATTTTTCATATTTGACTTTGAACAAAGAGCGAGATTCAATAAAACTCTTTTGACAAATGGTGAGTCATCTCCAGCTCTGAACGAACTGCTAAAGGCTCTTTGATTCATGGCTTGAATTATGAATGTAACCTATTTAATAAGATACATATCTAGAATCCCTCCTATTGATTTCAAGGTCTGGACACTCATTTAAAATCAAGAACAAAGGAAGTTGCTGTCTTTCTCTAGTTAAAGTCTGTCCCTATCCCTCCTCTTCAGTGTGAATTCATCTTCCTTTCATTTAGAGTATGATGTGGTGCACTATTTATAAATCAGAACTTTGTTGATGCTTTTTAGCAGAGATGTGTGTTTAAGACTGAACATAATGATGTGCTTCCTGCAGTCTCATCTTAGACAGTGGCTGGCCTTGGTCCCTGTCATCATTTGTTTCTGTAGTTCATAAATGCCTTTCCTGGGTGTGCGCACCCCTTGGGGAAATAGGTTCGAGTCACTCCAACCTCTCTGATAGATGTCTTCCAATCTCCCTCACCTAGTTCGGGAAGCTATTGTGTCCTGCCTGGCTGCTAAACGCTCCCCTCAGGACCACGCCGGGAGCCATGGGCTCTGCTTGAATCCCCTATCGCCTCCTCGCAGATCCAGCAGCTGACTGGAGCAACGCCCGCCCCCCTACTCTCACAAACATCACTGCAGTCGAGCTCTGCATTACGAGAGGCAAGAATGTGAATGTAGAGAGGCATGTAATAACAGCTATAAAGAGGATGGTAGCTGCAGCATACCTAATACCTCTGCAGGAAGCTACTGTAATGGTGCTGTTGGAGTCAGTGCAAGCCAAAAGTTACTTATGATTTGATATGGGACATTGTAATCATATTTCAAGCTCATACCAGATGCATTTGAATCCAAATGACATAATGCACTTCTGTGCACTTTATGATGCTGTGAGTGATGGCTTTATGTGGCTCAGTAAACTCCCCTGGGTGAGTTTGCTTTTGATTTGATATCTTATTATATAAGTGCTTGAAGGAAATCTTTTTATTTCACTTCACTGTTGAAATGAAGCCAAAATACTAGTGCTGACATACTCCACAGGGTGCTGCAACACTCTGAGATAGCCTTCAGGATAAATCCCACCACTGCGTGAAACAGTCAGTTAAGTTTAGTTAAAGTCTGAAGTGGAACCAAGAAGTCTGAGAAACAAAAATGGAGAGCAAACTGTTGTCCTGCATGTAAAATGAATATAGTCAAAAGTGTTAAATAATTGGGCTTTGGAGGCTTGTTCTTTATTGTTTTAGCTTTAAGCGATGCTATCACCCCTAAAACATATTCATGCATCGTGTTTAAACCCATTTAAACCCCAAACATATGTAACACAGAGTTAAGTGGGGTGAAAAGTTTGAGGCTCAGAGTCACACATTATTTATAATACATATAATGTAACAGGCTTATGATACACACATTTAAGTGTTTGCATTAACTCAAATGCCACCACAGGTTAAGCAGTCTCCACCCGCACTGCAACAAAATGATTCACACATTAATTGGATGGCAGAGCAAACAGGTCAATCAATCAATGTCTGGTGGGAATGCCATAATATATCATTTCCTCTCAACATCACTCAGCTGAATAAGGAAATGACTGCGCTTCTCTACATGATTGTTACGGAATGGATTTATTTACAGCTAACCATAATCACATCATTTTTTACCATTTTCCCATTTTGTATAAGCCGGACACTAATTTCCCTTGATGCTAAGCTGAGCCAAGCACAGCAACAGGATTTTTTTTGTTATCATCCTGCTGCTTGTGTTGGAGGACATGCTCATGCTTTGTTTACTGGACACACATTTTATCCTGAAGCTACCCTCGAGACATCAATACACTCACATTGATTCATACATTCAGTTAAACTGAGTTGCATCCATCAACTTTGTTCAATTATTAGACCTGTCTCCAAGCAGGAAATATCCTACACCATAACTCATCCTAACTGTGTCAAACTGTGAATCTCATGCAATGAAGTTTATGGCAAAGATGGGCTACTGTGTGAAGTTAAAGGGACAGTTTTTATTTTTAAGAAACTTTAAGTCAGGTAATGCTCCCCTTATTTGGCCTTCTTACTGACGGTGACAAAAGCTCATCCATAAAAGGCTTAACGCCCACTTTCCGTACTTTGCATTAAAAGTCGTACAGATTCTCGGAGTAATAAACCATCGACAACTGAACACCCAGATACGACAATTATTGTTTTAGATTCAGTGTTACTTACCCTTTCCGACGATACCATTATCTCCGATGTGCATTGCTGAATAAACGTATACAAACACTGCTAGAAATCGTAGCAAAATACGCTGCTTAAAACTCCAGAACTTCCCTGAAAATCATCACGTTTTAAAGTTTCCAGTGATAGTTTTGCACATTGAAGTTAACACTGCAAAAAGAAACTGCTAATCTGGTGCACATTCGCCCATATGTAAACAAATAGTATAGGCTAAAAAAAACGCGGCTCCAGATTTAAGGTTACAAGAGGCAACTTCCTGTTTATGGGAAATGTAGTTCCAAAACACATGATTACGCCCCAGATAGCTGATAGATGAAAATAGCAACACCACTGGCTATTTAAACAATTTAAACCCACTCCGCCCCAAACTGCCCTCGTTACATAATGCCGTAAAGTGTGGAATTAAGCCACTATGCGCCAAGACACTCTCCAAAAGCGATTTCCAAACTGGTGTTGAAGACATCTTCTAAGAGACTGTGCGTCTTTGGTGTGAAGGATATAAACGTAAAAGGTAGGATACTTGAAACACTAAATATACCCTGGTGCAAATAGCATCTGCCTAAAATGTAATGTGATTGACAATATCCATTGCTTTTGACGTGTGTGTTTGTTGCATGACTCATTTACCATCAGGATAACCATGTTATATAACAAATAACCATTGCTCCCAGGTAAACCTCTTCCCCTATCAGTGTTTATCAAAATGTAATTATGCCTGACTGAAAACAAAAAATCCATAAGACTGAGCAGAGAAATACATTATCACTGAATTACACCCAACACTAGGCTCCTTACAACTCGTAGCTTATTATGTGCCATGTAACGACACTGTGTTCAATTACTGTGTCCAAATCATAGTATTTGATTACAATTGTAATATGTCATCTCTCTGAAATCTTCACATTTCACTAAAGCAGTCTCTGAAATCAGTTAATTTTAATTGATAATATGCTATAACGACATGCATAGAAACTTACTGAGTCTCATGTTAATTCCACATAATGTTTGTTTGTGCACATTTCTTAACTTATTTTTGCCTGAGCGGTGTGTAATATTCTACTTTGTCAACTGCTTTCCATGACTGAAACCAACAGAGTATGCTATGGCATGGTAGAACTGCCATATTATTATCTTCTACAGAGAGTAAGTGCTAAATCTTCCAGTATATTACGGATGAAGGAAAGCTATGTACTGAGCCCAAATTGAAATTGCACCAGATAAGTCTCTGAGGAAATGGAGTTTAATGCTGGCTGATGTCGTAGAATAGACTTTGGCTACGTTTGAGCCGCAGACTACAGTCAAGGATTGTGACAGCAGCAGAAGATGAGGAGGAGAAGGGGGGACATTTTGAGCGTATACACTGAACGGGGGAGCGTGACACTGAGAGTTTATCTTCACATGTGTGGTTTTGTGAGAATAGATTGTGTGTGTGGCAAAAGAACGGATGAAAACTGGGTTGGGGTGAACGAAATGAGGGAATTTATGACATGAGAAGTGTGAGACAGGATTTAAAACACCTTTTTTCTCCTGCGTCTTTTTCAATAAGATAATGTTTGCGGGAATTTCCTAGTGCTACAAATTATACCATAACAGCACAACATGTTCTATACTTCTCTCCTTGCATCAATGCATTTATGTGAAGAGTATATTTAATACTGTTTCTTTCCTAGACATGTATTTGGAGCCAAAGAAAAAAATCATCTTTTAACTAACAACAACAAAACATCTAATGATCACTATTGGCTTGTGTTTGTTATC